AAACAGGCGTGCCACTAGGTGGCGTGCTTAGTTGCACACTTTTTATTATCAAAATGAATTCTTTGCACTTGTCCATTCCCCGCAATATGTTCTATTGTACATATGTCGACGACGTTCAGCTTGGCTTCAAGTCATGCAACTTGGCCATATGTGAGCGGCAGGTTCAGCTGGGTTCAAATAAGGTCTCCAAATGGGCAGATGAAAACGGATTTCGACTTAACCCACAAAAAAGCACGTGTGTCTTGTTCTCTCGAAAGAGAGGCATGCACTCGGAACCTGACATTCGACTGAATGGGCAACGTCTGTCCATCAAAGCCGAGCATAAATTCTTAGGCTTAATCTTGGACAACAAGTTGACCTTCGTACCGTACATCAAGTATTTAAAAACAAAATGTTTAAAAGCCATGAATGTTATAAAAGTGTTGTCACGTACTACGTGGGGTAGTGATAGGCAATGCCTCATGAACCTCTATAAAAGCCTCATCCGCACCCGCTTAGATTATGGGGCCGTTGTCTATCAGTCTGCAACTCAAAGTGCCTTGAAGATGCTTGACCCCGTGCACCATTTGGGCATCCGCCTTTCTACGGGTGCTTTTCGCACCAGCCCCGTAGAAAGCCTTTATGTTGAGTCAAATGAGTGGTCGCTTCATCTGCAGAGAACTTACATGTCCTTTGTTTATTTCCTTAAGGTGAAAGCAGACAAGAAGCACCCCTCATACTCTACAATTAATGATTTGTCGAGCTCAACTGTGTTTCAAAACAGGCCTTCGATGAGGCAGCCCTTCTCAATTCGCCTGAAGTGTCTAGCTGAAGAAACTGAAGTGTCACTTGAACACAGTTTAATGGCTCCTGTAGCATACCCGCCACCGTGGCAGTGGCAGAATATAGACTGCGATGTGTCTTTCCTAGAGGTTACAAAACATGCACCTATTGCCCATATCCGAACATACTTTCTGGAACTTCAACACAAATACACATGTCCTGAGTTCTTCACAGATGCCTCCAAGACTAACTCCTCTGTGTCCTACGCTGCTGTCGGCCCATTCTTTTCGGATGCTGGCCCTCTACATCCACGGACAAGTATCTTCACAGCGGAAGCTTACGCGATACTGGTGGCAGCTAAACACATCAAACAATTACAAATACAAAAAGCAGTAATTTATACAGACTCCCTCAGTGTGGTAACGGCTCTGCACAGTCCTAAAAAACAAAAAAAACCAGTCCTTGTCTCACTTTACTCCATTTTGTGCACACTTTACACGCAGAAACAACATGTTGTAGTGTGCTGGGTGCCAGGGCACCGTGAGATCCAAGGCAACGTGAGGGCGGATCACCTCGCTGCATCCGTCCATGAGAGCACCGCCATTATATCCATATCAATCCCGGCCCTTGATCTTAAGCCGTCTCTCAAACTAAACCTCAGGGACTACTGGCAGAGCAAGTGGGATACACACACACAAAACAAACTACACGTTATCAAGCCACACCTTGGCCATTGGCCACCAGTATCAAAATCACGTCTAACAGAGGTAACACTAACAAGACTCAGGATAGGGCACACATACACGACACACACACATCTTTTATCCGGTGGTGATCCACCATTGTGTGATAAATGTGGTGAGGCTTTAACAGTTCTTCACGTTTTAATCCAATGTAAACAGTTGGACACTCTAAGAAGACAACACTTCCCATTACCCTACCGACAACATATACCTTTACACCCTGCAATGTTTGTCGGTAGGGAACCACTTTTCACCCATAAATCATTGTTAGCTTTTTTAAGAGATGTTAATTTTTACCATGTATTATACCCAGGCATTGCGTAGCGTGACCTCTCAAGAGAGGTCGCTGCTGCTGTGATTACATTTAAAAGCACTTGCCTCGCAGCCCTTGGACACAAGGGCACTGATGAGGCAAGTGTGCTAGTGCCAAATATTTTTACGTTTTTATTATCAAAACCTTTGTCACCCTTTTAATATGCATATCACGCCACTGTCATGTCTTTAATACTTATGTTTTTACCCGCATTATCGCGAGGAATTTTAAGGCCCCTATACAGCCACGCAACATATCATTGTCCGCATCTCTATACTCATTGAAATGGCGCTCTTTGGCCATCAATTGGCCCTTGCGCCATAAAACACCACACATCATCATCATCAAGGACTGAGCTTGTAGAATGTGGCGCAACCAGCTTAATAACTGTGTCAGTAAAATAAAGCGACAGTCATGATTGCGTCCAATAAATACATGCCAATTTTCGAGAAAAAGTGCTCTTATATTACGAGCAAAATCAGCTACTTTCGTCTGTTTGCTCTTGTGCTCTGACATACAGCCTTCCGTAACCCTACGACTACGATCGTGCGGCGGTTTCTAAAACGTTGACCATGCTCCAATGTCATGCAGCCCCCAAAAGCCTTTGCAGTAACTTGCATCCAGTTATTAGCTAACATGACTCACGTATGTTCTGGTGCTTTGTGCGGGCCGTAGGTCTTGCTGTAGACCCGCGTTAGCGAGACATAGGCGCAAAAGAGTATACAATACGTCTTGATCTTGAGCATTATATTTTTCTCGTCCGTGTTTTGCGGTAGGCTTCAACCGAATTTTACAACATCAATTTAAACCAGCTGGCACGGTTCGCTATTGTGCCATTTTATTTTCTTTGACCGCTTCAGCTTGTTCAGGGTGGTGTCACGGAGCACTGAGTATTTCTAGTGCAATACAACACGCACCGCCGGCTCGTTGTGACAACCTAGTGTCGGCCGTAGTAACTACATATTGAGCACAAGATTGCTCAAATTGGTCATGACCACGTCCTCCCTCCCCGGAGGTAATTGAACCTATTAATGACGTATTTTCTGAGGGAATGGCCCGGTATTTTTTGCCCTCTAAGAAAACCAATTTTACGTCCCCTACCTCATGTGGGCCATATTTGACAGGCTCCTGAAACTGGCTGTGTTATCGGTCAAATATACGACGCGTTGGGGGGTTTAAAAGAACAAGCTAAGCCCTATAGCCACCATTTGTTTTAGGCCAACTTTATGTAACTTTTTCTCCGCAACAATAAAAGCTACAGTAATGTAATGCTAACTTTTTGTCGTTTTGTTTTTACTTCATGAGGCTAATTATCGCTTTGTAATTGGTATCAGATGCCGTGTTAAAAAAAGTTCTTCTACACATAAAAAAATCTGCTTCAGTATTTTCTGTTGCACGTTCTCCAAATACTGGCTGAAATCCGTTCATGGATACAGTGCTTGCTAAAAAGCTACATATGTACAAAAAAGCAGGTCTTGGGATACTCGAGTTTAAAGTGGGAAGTGTGCTTTATTTCAAAAGTAACACAAAATAACCGCCGATTGAAGAACATTTCAATTGGCACCAGCCATATACTCACCATCAATATCGCATTTTCTTTTCGAGTTCAGGCGTCTGGCCTGGCGGGCCGCCTTTGTCGCCTGCTTTTCAGCGCTGTCAGCGAAGTACTGTCGACGCAAGTCAAGTACGCGTTTTCCCTCCACTGTGTAGCAACCTGGTGAAATTACAAACGAGTTCAGCACATTTACACTAGCTATGTTGTCATAATTAAAAGTGAGAACAGCGTCAAGAGTGCATATTTTCACTGTTAGGTGTTCGAGAAACATGTTTTTTTGGAGCGCGCTTCCACAAGATATTGTTGAACGACTCGCTGGAGTTTTGAATTCTCTCATGAAGGCATTTTGCAAGTAAATCGCGATTGGCAAGTTGTTCATAAACTGGCTTAACAGCCTCAAAAACAGATGCCGGAAGGTGTTCTTTGTGAACGTATGGTTCACCACTGAACTGGGCTAGTTTGAATTTGCACCAGGTATCAGCGTCCTTCGGGCAAAGGTCATGAGAAGAATTGGTATCCGTTGATGTCATCTAGATATACGTGGCCCATACTGCCTTTCAGATGTCTTCTAAGCTATCTATATTTGTTCTCGCGAAATATGGCTAGGTTATGGCTAAATCATGATAATTTTGGATCTCTGCGAACCACGCGCGCAACGCGCGCGAACAAAACGTGCAAAAAAAAAAGCCCGCAAAGTACTTTTACCAGCGACTAAACATAGATTTGGCAGATGAAACAGTTGTTGCCACACCAATTATCATTCCCACCAAATATGTCAAAAAAATAGTGCCCTTAATTTCGGCGCGTTTTTAGCTGCCCACGTGCGCACTCAGGTTAAGCGTACCAAAGGTGTTCAAGCAGGCCGCCGCATATATAGGTTTCGAAATATGTGATTTTTAGAAAGAAGAAAGTCATGCTAGAACAAACAAATGACTGATTCTGGTTCAGAAAAAGCTAGTGATATCAAATTGTGCAAAAAAACTATTTTTAGTAGCTTTGTTTGCCCTGTCCTCTTAAGACACCAGTACGCATTATGACACGGTTAGCATATAGGTTGCAGTGTACCATCTGGTCAGCTCTCGAAAGTGTGTCGTAATTCCTAAGTAAAAATACTGAAGCTACTTTGGTATGTGCATATCACTGCCGCGGTGACTACACTCTCAGGGGAAGCGGAGATATATTCAGTTTACCTTCTCTCGGTAAACTTCAGAAACGTATATGAAGACTTTGATATGAATATGATTTCATGGTATTTGTATGATCTTAGTAAGAGCGGTATCGGGGTATGAGTTATATTGTGTCAGGATCATCAACATTAACAAAAGCGTATGAAAAATTTGTTCGAACGTAATAGTTAGATGGCTAGCTCTAACGATAGATTTTATTTGATGCAGGGCGATCAATCCCAGGTGTCACGAAGAAAAACTCCATTCTTAAAGATTCTACTGGCCGTCTGCAAGAATCGACTACAGAAACAGCGGAAAGTAAAGAGGCACTGCCGAGAATCGCATCTCCTGGTACTCCTACTCCAGGGATTGTGCCATCCACGCCCAACTCCATGCTTCAAACAGTCGCAGGTTTCCCGCCCTCCGCTAACCACGAAAGCTCTTCTGCCACTCGGCCTCCCATGACGCATCTTAAGTCACAATTAGAACCTGTATTGCCATCATGGTTCTATAAAAAGCTCGCTCGCTACCCGGTCGTGCCAATAGCCGAAGTCCAAAGGGTGGTCATCGTCGCTTATTTCCGCAGTGGTTCCAGCTTTTTTGGTGAGATGCTTTCTTCAACTCCGCGCACTTTCTTCCACTTCGAGCCCCTGCAAATGTTCGGCCATAATTTCAGGACCAACGACAGCGCAGCGCACCAAGCCTTGGACTTGATCGGTCACCTGTTCCACTGCGAGTTCCAGCGTATCAAAGATTACGCTCGCTGGGATTACGAACACTCGTCGCTCTTCGTGTGGAACCACTTCCTATGGACCCTCTGCAGAGGGAAATCTTCAGTCTGTTTCAACTCTGAGGCCGTCTCCCAAGTTTGTTCGCGGGCACCTGCGCAGGTGATGAAGGTCACGAGGTTGCCCATGTCTCATGTTCGAGACTGGTTGCGCAGCAACCCGGACATAGCGGGAACTGTAAAGATTGTACACCTGGTGCGAGATCCGCGGGGCATCGTGGCGTCGAGGAGACGCGTGGCCTGGTGCAACAAGTCCGAGGCTTGCATGCACCAGGATTCAGTGTGCTCAGAGGTTCGCGCTGACCTGTACTCGTACGAGGAGTTGAAGAAGGTGCTTCCAAACAGCACACACAGACTTCGTTACGAAGATTTGGCTCTCAATCCTAATGGTGAAGCTGTGAGGCTGTTCGACGTTCTAGGGCTGAAGTACACAAGACACGTGACCAGGTTTTTGAAGACGCACACCAGGTCACGTAAGGACAATTCCTTGTACCCGCACTCGACGAGGAGAAATTCGTCTATCGTCGCGTTTCAGTGGAGAACCAAGCTGAGCTACGAAGACGTCGTGAATATTCAGCGGTCCTGTTCAGATGTGCTGCTGCGGTTGGGTTACAAGACAATTACTAGAGAAAAAGAAATGTTTCAGGCAGTGCCCCTAGTTTCTGTAGGAAACCTGACAGTGCCTGTATGAGGCTAAGGATTACACAATACATCGCAAGACCCCTGCAATTCGGTCAACCTTTGCTTTGATTGTACGGTACACTCCTTCTCTTGCTAAATGGATGGATGGATGAAAGAAATTTATTGAGGTCTGATAGGTCGGGCGAGTGTCCCTAGCCCAAAGTGAGCCGCTCCCACGTTGGGAGCCAAAGACGTATAGCCTCTCAGCCACTTCGCGGGCCCATTGGATTGCCCATAGTTGTCCCTATAATGTAGTACTGCTTAAAGCGGCGTCCCATCCTTCTTCAATATGTTCCTCATCGCTGCGTAACGCGGAGCAATGCCAGAGCGTATGAGCAAGATCTATGGTGTCGTGTTATTTATCGCATGTTGTTGGACAGATCCTACAGCGGCCCCCCAGGGGCGTCTGTGAGAGCCGGCGTTTGGTGCGTAGCGTCACCACGGACCCGAGCTAACAGGGGAGGTTTAGGCTCCTTCCCACTCCTAGCCGTGCGAGGCTCTGCCGTGTCCGGGAAAAAGGGGATCCGGGGGGTTGAGCCGACGCCGGGTGATTGGACCTTTAAGGCCCCCCGGCGGAGGCAACGCACCCCTTTGGGCCCGGCTTCACGTAGACGGCACCCCTGGGCTGACCCACCCAGGGGAAATTGGCAGTCGCCTTTTCTCATCTCTTCCTACATCTTTTTCTTTATCTCTCACTTCTTATCTATCCTGTCATCTTCTCTTTTCTGTTTACTTCCAAATTTTCTGGTGGCGAGGGTTAAGCCTGTGTTAACCTTGGGTAGTTATATTCGGTTACAGCAGCGATGCATGGCTGGCGTCTCCAAGTGTTCACTATTCAACCTTGTAGCGTCCCCTTGTTGGGCTCGGTGGTGGGTGGCCACCATCGCTGCCGAATTTAAAATGCTTCTTATGGAGAACCCTTTTCCCGCACTCCCTGATCGCCGCCTGAAAAGGTGGCGCACCGATGACAGCTTCTTTACTGCACAGCTTAAACAGACCTTCCCCAAGTACCATGTAATCCACAGCCAAAATGAAAAGAAAACAGTTCGATCTATTTCACCATTTATTGTCTCGAAATGCTCGCAGATGCAATTGGCCCTGGCTATAAAGTAACTAAAATGGGGAATGGCGATCTCCTTCTAGAAGTTCGCGACAAGACTCAATATGACAAGCTCACAAAACTCGTATCATTTGATAACATCCCAGTATCAGTGGGCCCACATAGGTCGATGAACACAGTGCATGGTGTAATACCTGATGATGACTTCCTCGAGCTGTCTGAAAGTGAACTGCTCGAAGGCTGGCAGGAACAAAATGTAGTGAAAGTGCAAAGAATAATAATCAGGCGAGATAGTACACACACCCCAACAAAGCACATCATAGTTACCTTCGGTACAAGCAACCTTCCAAATTCCATTGAAACTGGTTACTGCAAGCTTCGTGTCAGACCTTATGTACCAAATTCTCACCAATGTTTCAAGTGTCAGCGCTTCAGACACGGATCCCAAACGTGCAGAAGGCGCGCTAGGTGCGCGAAGTGCGCATCTTGTGAACAAGTATCCGAAAAGTGCACTTGAGAAGCCTGTTGCGCTAACTGTGAAGGAGATCATGCTGCCAACTCCCGATCATGCCCTGCATGTAAAAAAGAAAAACAAATATTAGAACTTAAGGTCAAGCTCAACCTGTCATTTCAAGAGGCACGTCAACGTTTTTCTACACGCAATCATTCTGAACCTTCCTTCGCCGACGTGGCGCGTAGAGGCGCCATGCCACGTCTTTCGGCGCCCGCGAGATTCACCCCAAGTGTGACTGCGGTCGTGCCAGAAGCGCCTCCGGCTGGAGCAGCCTGTACTGCTCCGCCTCCTTTTCAAAAGGGCTAGCAGACTTCAGAGTCTGCTGGACCACGGACCACTGCAACACTGCAGTCAGGTCACTGCGCTCAGGACACTGCAGTCAGGTCCGAAACTGCCATCAACGTCCCTGCCAAGCAGGCACCATCCGCCACCTCAGAAGAGGTGATGGACACAAGCCATACTCCTCCGGCGCCCCAGACGCCGAAGGAAAGGCACAGCTGTTTGGAGCGAAGCAAGAAAGAGAAACACCGTATTACAGGGTTTTGCGGCTCTTAAAGCAATTCTACGATCCCTGCCACAAGCAGGTTCTTTACCATAAAAGAAATTGCTGCTAGATGTTGAGCATCTTCTCTTGTCGTAATCATGGCTACTGGACTATCTAACTGGTACAAAAGAAGGGCAATATTCCAGTGGAAATGCAACGGTTTGCAGAATAAGAAAGGAGATCTTCGGAAATTCGTCGCTCAGCACGTGTTTCCGATTTTGTGTATTTCCGAAACAAGTGTATCCACTAACTTTCGCTTGCTCAATTATGTGGTCTACCAAGCAGAATTTCCTGCTGCAAAAAGTAGAGTGATGTTGTGTGTGAGACGCGATATTCCATCGACACTTGTGGCTACTTCAAAAACAGATGCGCCGGAATTTGTTAGATGCAAGGTGAAGTTTGGTAACGTTACTGTAACTGTAGTTCGTGTTTACGTGCAACCTCAAGCAAACGATTCATACGCAGAATTGGCTGCAGTGTGTAGATCTGACCACGATCCCATAATTATATGTGGTGATTTTAACGCGCACCATGAATTGTGGGGTAGTGAGCGTTGTAGTGTAAGGGGATCTGCTATAGTAAAAATATGCGAAGACAATGGTTATACTATACTAAATGATGGTTCTCCGACGTTTCTACGGTGGCATAGCTACTGCAGCGTACTTGACATCACTGTGTGCTCCTCTTAATTAGCGGCTCGAGCAGACTGGACTGCACACGCTGATACAAGAGGAAGTGACCACTTGCCAGTATTCATATATCACCCAAAGTTAAAGAAAACAAGAAATAACCGCACAACAAGAATCACGAATTGGACAATCTTTCGAGAACTACAGAGACAAAATCTTGAACCTTGTTCTGACGCAGAAACGTTTGCAATGAAGATAAAAAATTTTCCAACAAAAGCAACTCGTGCAGTACCCATTCCAGATGGGTATTCTGGTGTTGACGCTGAGTATGAGATGCTTCGGGTAATACGACGCCGATCTGAAAGAAGATATCGCAGGTCGAATAATTTAGAAGATTTCAAGGTTGCACAGAAAGTACATTCTGCAATGCATAACCAACTGCAGAAGCTTTCAACCAAAAGGTGGCAAGATTTATTTACCTCACTTTCTCCATTTACCTGGGCGACTCAACTGTGGAACATGGTACGCACCCTCTGACAGCCAGTAGTCCACTCGAGACCGTAACAGGCTCTAGCGCTGTCTCGAGGAGTTAAGGAACGTGTGATTGCCGAAGAATTTTGCGATCTTATACTGAGAAATGGAGAGACCGCTCAAACTAGCGAATATAAATCCTCAGCAGAATCAGCTTCGGCGGTTGTAACAAAGTTCTCTGCGATCAGTTCATCAGATCTGGATGAGAGCTTCACACCAGAGGAGCTCTAATATGTGCTGTCTTCAGTAAAATGAACAAGTTCACCAGGAACAGATGGAGTTACATACGCTGCTCTTGCTAATTTGTGCGAGAAAGGAAAATTACACCTGTTGAACATCTATAATAAAAGTTGGCAAGAAGAAAAAGTTCCGGAAAGCTGGAAGACATCAAAACTAGTACCGTTGCTACAGCCAGGGAAGAGCCCTATGCAGTTGGACTCGTTTAGGCCGGTTAGTTTGACAAGTTGTTTTTCAAAAGTGATGGAAAAAATGATCAATTAACAAATTTTATGGTGGCAAGACATGAAAAAACTACTACCAGAAAGCATAGCCGGCTTCAGAAGAGGTAGATGCACAATGTACTGCATTCTGGATTTGGTCACAGATGTGGAAAACCAATGAACGTGTAGTGCCATCATCACCATCGTCATTTTTTCCATCACCGCGCCGCGTCTCTCGCGCAGCTGGCGCGAGCTCGAGCTGCGCGAGAATGAGAACGAGCTTCTGGCCTGGCGGTTTGGACGCTGGTAGTCGACGTGGCTCCGCTTGAGGCCTGCAATAAAGTGGCGAGATCGGCACGGCCCCATCGGCCTCCTTCTCTCGCCGCTGCATTGGTGACCCGGAGAACACGCCCTTCGCCGAACGGCCCGCGGCCATGTTCCCGCAACTCTGCCCGCCAGTGCCGCCGTTCCAATCGACCTACCCAAACGTATGGTTTATGCAACTCGACGCCGTTCTTGCGGTGAATGGCGTCACGCACCAGCTGCTGATGCACGCCATTCTTCTCGACGCCCTACCGGTAGAGTTGCGCCATCTCGCTGCCACTTCAAGCACCAGCCCGCAGCCTTACGATGCCCTCTGCACTGCGGTGCTCGCCCGCAGCGCCAACACATACCGTCCGCTTCCGTTTACCCGCACCAGGCAGGTTTCCCCGGCGTCGCAGAGCAAGGTACGCACGCAAGCGCACGCAGAGCAAGCGACGGCACGTGACACCGTGGCCCTCGCCGTTTCCGCGACCACCAGCTCAGACGTCTCGGCCTTCCCCTCGCCGCAGCTGCTGGTCAGCTCCTCGACGGTGCCCTCTGCCGCTCCGCCACCTGCCACTGGTGCCAGCAATGGCCTGCCGGGTGCCTCGCCACATTCCACTCGCACCTCCCCGGCCAGCAGCCGACCACCCTCAGCGTCCCCGCTCCCCGCCCCTGTCCCTGTCTCTGTTTCGTGGTCTACGACGGGCCCCAGCGCCGTGTCTTCGCGGAGCCAGAGCCTGCCCTCATCGTCGGCGTCGACACCGGCAACCACCAAAGCAACTGCCACCGTCGCCCCTCTGCCCGTGGCGCCGCAGCAGGCACCTGCGTCGAGACCCGGCGTCGCACAGGTGGTTTCGGCCAGCCCCAGTCCTCGCACCTCTGGTGCCCCCCGGCTCATCCAGCCGAAACAGCCACAGATCCTGCCCAAGCTGTCGAGCGGCAGCGCGAACATGACGACGCCTTCGGCAGCGGCGACCACCCGGTCCCAGTCTCCTCGGGCGGCCCAGCACAAGGCCACACCACGGCCCGCGCCTGTACCGGCGCCGCAGCCTGCGACCACGGTGCAGCGCGGAGCCGCGATGGGGCTCAACACGGGGAGTCCGTTGCTCATCGGGAACCCCGCGGCAGCGCAGCCGGGCATGTTTCCGGCTGGACCTGCGCACGGCACTTTCCTGCTGAACCAGTACATTCCGGGCCTGGG